GAGAGAGAAAGAAAATGAATAAATATCTCTCTAGGAAGGAATGAGTCCAACTACCAGCCTAGCCCAGGGGAATGTTGATTCTCAGAATGACATAGGAGGGAAAGCAAAGCCTGGAAGCCACAGATGTGGTCCAGATGTCTGGCCCATGGTGGGCTGTACACTCCAGAGTGACAACAGTCTTTCTCAGGGGAGTCAAAAGAAGGTGGAGATCTGCAATCCTCTTGACCACAGGGTCTATCTGTGTTGTCGGGGGCTTCTCAAATCGCTGGAAATTGTCTCTAAAATTAACAGGGATATTTTTGTTCCTGGGGACAAGGACAGAGCATTCGCCAAACACTCAAAGGCGTCTGTGATCCCAAAGCAACAAGGAACCACTGAAACTGACCGAGCCCTCTCCACCCAACGCCTACACAGCCGCAGTCCTCGTTTTAGAACCCCCAGAATGAGGGAACTGGACCATATGATTTCTGGCATCTGTTCTATTGTCTTTATTGTTCTATGGCAGCCGGCACTAAAGATGTCCTCTAGGGTCCTTCTTCCTGCCCCAGTCCCAGGCTTGAACCTGCACCCACACACTCATTCCCAGAGAATGCCGGAGGCAGCAGTTGGACTGGGAAATGAGACAGAAATTTGCATTCATTCATTCATTCATTCATTCATTCTCTGAACAGATGTTAGATGAGGATCTAGTATGTGCCAGGGGCTAAGCCAAGTTCTGGGAATGGAGGGGTTAATGAATAAGAATAAGTAAACCATAGAACATTTCACAACCCAGTTGCTGGGTCCATTTGCTTGAGCTGAAATTGAAGTGCTACCATTTGACAGCTGTGTGGGCTTGGGCAGGGTGCTTCCCCTCTCTGGGCCTCAGATTGCTCAGAAGTAATAAGATAGCATCTACCACTGCATGAGGTTAGAATGAAGAACAGATGAGTTTATTACTGCAAGGAACAGAGCCTGGCAGACCTATAGTACCTCTTGAATGTGACTTCTTGTTATTAACCTGGTGAGGCAGATTGAAGCTGCACAAGCAAAAACGTGTAATAAGTGGTATGGGTGCAAAACTACTGGGTGCAAAGGAAGGACATGGCAGGGGAATAGGGGTTGAAGGGAGGGCATGGCTGGTGGCGGGACTGGCCTGGTTAAAGGCCTGGAGGGAGGCATGTCAGGGATGAGTGGTCCCCGGATGGGAAATTCTTGTCTGGGGAAGGAGGTCAGGCTGGAAAACTTCCAGGCTTATGTTTTAGAAGGAGAAAAAGAGGAAATGAGTTGAAAGTAGCCTGAAAGCACAGGATGCAGGGGTATGAGAGTGGGGAGGCAGCTCTCGGGTGCCATCCACAAATTAACCGAGGCCAAAGGTTTCTTTGCAGGTGGGAACCATGTCTCAGGCTGCCAAGGCCTCAACCACAGCTGCGGTGAACCCAGGGCAGGATAGCAAGGGGAAGGGTGCCCCGCCCCCAGGACCTGCCCCTGGCCCTGGTCCCGCCCTCACCCCAGCATCAGTGCCCATGCCCACTGCCAAAGTGGGGGACCTGCCTCCTGGGAGCTACAGGGTAAGGACCTGGGGGGGATGCTAGCTAGGCTTAGCCCTTGTGCTTCCTCCTCCCTCTCCCCTCCCCTTGCTAGTGTCCGACCTGCACAAGCACATGGTTAAAGTTTGTGAAGCAAGAAACAGAAGAAAATAAAGGCTGGTTTAGAAGCAGGAACCACCTGTCCCAGGTGATTCTCTAGAGGAGCAGGATGGCCTCAGACCCTTCTGAAAATTGTCCCAAGCAGTGGGTCAGTCTGCAAGGGTTCCTGGACAGCAAAGTCATCCAGTCCCCTGGGGTTGGGTTGGGTTTGGTTTCAACCTCAGGTGCACAGAACTGGGTCATTTCACCACCGTTGGTCTGGGACACTCTCTCATGCGGTCTAGGCATGGCCAGCTTTTATTATGTAATCACTTATTAAATTGTTCATTTTTATTCAATTTTTAATATGCACCTACAAACCCATCACGCATATTCAATACCAGGACTTGGTAAAAATCCTCTAACTTGAAAATGTCTCCCATGAACCCATCACCCTCCTCCCTTACTCAAGGCAACAGCCATCCTCACCCCTGTCTATCCTCTGCTTGCTTGCTTTTTAATGCATCCTTATGTATTCTTCCTTTAAAAGTATATATTTATAATTTATGTGTCTTTAACTTATTGAAATATGCTGTATATAATCATTCTGGGTTTTTCTCTTTTCACTCACTCTGAGATCTCTGATAGTCACCCATATTGTCGTGCATTGCTGTGGGTCATTTGTTTTGGCCATTATATAATATTTCAGAGTGTGACTGTCAATCCCGAGGACCAATTACGTGGTTGCTAGCTTTGCTCTGGGGAACAGTGTGGCCAAGATGTTCTTATCCATGTCTCCTGGGGTCACACATGCAGGATTCTCTTGGGCAGTCAAGTATAGAAGTGCTACGTCAAGGGTATGTGAACCTGCTCTTACAACTGGAAAAACTGAAGCTCAGAGAAAAACTACGCTTGCCTTGGTTCAAGTGAATGGCAAGGTTTTTCTAACTTTGTTTATTATCCACTTGTTGTGAGGCTTAGTGAGTGGAGAGGATTAGCCAATGCTCACACAGGGGCCCCTTCATTTAGGCCCCTCTGTTCGTGGTGGGTAGACTGGCAAGTGTTTCCTGAGCATCAGCTCTGTGGCAGGTGCTGGGGCTAGAGCAAGAGATAAAGAAATGGATCAACCCCATGCCCTGCCCTGCAGGAGCCCTTGGTCTTTGGAGGGGTTGTGTAAAGGGGGAGAGGGGTGCTCAGAGAGAGACCCAGAAGCAAAGCAGTGTGACTGTGTAGTGTGTTACTTGTACCACTGATGGTGTGAGCACAGTGGGGAGCACTTAATCAAGCCCACCTAGGTAAAGGGCATCAGGGAAGGCTTCCCGGAGGAGGTGATATCTGAGCCTAGAAAAGGACAGAGAACATGAGCTCCTAGATGGGGATGTGTTGTATAGAGGGCATTCCAGGCAGAAGGAACAGCACAGATAAAGGCCTGGTACAAAGATCCATCAGTTCCTAATAATGGTGCAGATATTAAGTTCAGAAATGAAGAGAAAGAATGACAGGGTAGTTTCGCAGACTTTGGCTCGTGGCACGCTCTCATGCGATCTGTGCACAGCCTGCTTTTATTTATATAGAGACTTAATGCCCTTTTTGACCTGGAGCCTCTCCAGTATGGAGGCACTCCACCTTCCTCACTCTGCCCCCCACCTTTGGGCATGGGGGCTTCTCTCCTCCAGTTGGTGGTCTTCGAGCAGGAGAACTTCCAGGGCCGTCGGGTGGAATTCTCCGGGGAGTGCTTGAACCTGGGAGACCGTGGCTTTGACCGAGTGCGCAGCCTCATCGTTACCTCTGGACCGTGAGTGTCGTGTGTCAGGGGCAAGGGAGGAACACTCCTGCAGACAGAATAAAATAGTAACAAATCGGGAGTAGCTGCCATTTACCCAGCACCTGCTTTGTGCCTGCTACCATGCTAACAAAGACACATGTATTATTTTCAGTCCTCATTTCAAACATAAGAAGGAGAAAAGGGAGCTATTATGCTCCTTCCCACTTTACAAATGAGGAAACTGAGGCTCGGCAAGGTGATTTCATTAGCGTGAGGTCACACTGACAGAAAGTCATCATTCTGGACTTCAGAGAAATGCTGCTTCTACTATAGGAGCCCTGCCCAACAATGAGGGTAGGAGGAGACCAAAGAGCCAAGTGTCCACTAGCTGTCCCCTCTCCGGGGCATCGAGCAGCCCTAAGAGTAATAATAAGCATCTGTGGAGCACCCACTAGGTGCCCAGCACCAACTGAGGGCTTTACCTAGATGACTGTAGAGTGCTGTGTGGGGGAGGGGCTATTCTTTTGCCCACTTGACAGATGGGGAAACTGAAGCTCGGAGCAGGTAAGTCCCTGGCCCAAGTTTCCTAGTGTGGAAAGTGTCAGAGGCTGTTTGAACTCAAGTAGATCAATTTCATTCACAACGCTTTTATCACCTGCTCCACAGCCTGCTCCTGGCTCTGGGCTTCTCTGGGCCTAGTGACCCCTGTATAAAGCAGGTACAATTGTCTTTTGGACAGTTGTCCCAGCTCCAGCCCATGTGAACTGAGGTCAGGGCACACAACAAGACCCACATGGCCCTTTTGCCTCTTATCTTCCCAGAGCAAACATCCCCAAGCAGTATGCTCAGACTCCATGCCCAGCATCCTGAGACTTTTTGCAGTACAAAGAGCAGAGATGGGCTTTGAGCTCAGACAGGCCTGGGTTCAAGTCTCAGCTCTCCCAGACCTTGCTCAGTCTCCAAGCCTCAGTTTTCTCATCTCTGATGTAGGGAGAATAGGTCCCTATCCACTACCCTCCACTGAATTATTCTGAGCCCTGAAGGAGATAATAATACATCATCGGCCTGGCACTTTGTGGGTGCCCAAACACAGCAAGTGACAATGGTGATTATTATCCCCGCCCCCCCATTGCCCTGTGAGTTTAGCTGAGTCGCCCTGGTGGAGTGTACAGGCCAGAGGGTGTGGGCGTGGAAGGGGTGTGGGGGGTGGGAGGTGAGAAAGGGGGCATGTCTGCCTCCTAGAGCCACCCCCCACCCCTGTGTGGTCAACATAGCCTCAGCCTACCCCTCCACCCTCCCTATCTTCACCTTCCCCCACACAGCCCCAAAGCCCAGCTGAGAGCAGAAGCTGCCGGATGTGGCCAGTTTGGGTTTTTAGGCTTTTTTCAGTACCAGTGACTCAAACCTAAAGTATTTCTCCTGAAACAAAAATGCAGCTGGTCTTTGGTGTATGCCCTGGAGCTGCACCCAATGGAAGGAGACAAGAGCCTATGGTCCAGAGCCCTTGGTCTATGTCAGGGCCAGCAGGGATGGAGGGAAAAT